TCAATCTCCTAAGGGAATCTTCATCGATCAAAAGAAGAACATCAAAAATATGTTGAAGATATACTCCATGGAGAACGCATAAACTGCAAAGACACCGATGTCTACTTCCTAAAAACTTGTTTCAGACCTTGATGGAAAATATGTAGGTCAGAAGTACTACAGATGAATGATTAGCTCATTAGTATATCTTACAGCCAGTCGACCAGACATCATGTTTTCAATAAGTCTATGTGCACGCTTTCAAGCCAATCCAAAGGAATCACATCACATATCAGTCAAAAGAATTTTCAAATATCTGAAAGGAACTACTTCTCAGGGTCTATTCTATCATGCTAAAGGCAACTTCTATCTCCAAGCCTTTACTGACTCATATTATGGAGGATGCAAGCTCGACATAAAGAGCACTTTTGGTAGCTATCAATTCATAGGATGCAGATTAGTCAGCTGGACCTCAAAGAAGCAAACATGTATTTCAACCTCTACTACTGAAGCTAAATACATTGTTGCTGCCAGCAGTTGTTCTCAAGTGCTTTGGATGCAAACACAACTGAGAGATTATGGATTCAAAATGCAACATATCCCAATCTATTGTGACTCTAAGCGTGTGCAATTTCTCACAATCCAGTCAACCACCCATTGACCAAGCACCTTGATATTAGATATCACTTCCTAAAAGATAATATTTAGAAAGATCATGTTGAGCTTCATTTTGTTCCTACAAATGAAGAGACGCCAGATGTGTTCATGAAAGCTCTGGATGAATCCAAGTTCTTACACTTTCTAGGACGACTTGGCATGATTAATCTAGATTCTCTAGGCATTTGAAAATTTTCTTTCTTTCTCAATTTTTTTTGAATAAACCCAAAAATATTTTATTTTTCCTTTTCACTTTACATAAGAGAAAAATACAAAGGGATTTAATTTTATATATTTTGTCTTTACTTTAAACAAAAGAAAATACCAAAATGACTTTATCTTTATTTTGTTAGGAAAATGCAAGTTTTCATCACAACTATGCAAATGAATAAGGTTAGTTGCTCCACATTTTAATGATTTTTCAAAATACTAAATTCTGTGGTTCTTTAGTTTGCTTCAGTACACAACTAATATTAGTACTTCAGTGACCATTAACAAGCTTCATGTTTATACTCTACTTAGAGTTATAACATACATCAAGTACTAATGTTATGTGGGATAGTTTAAGGCGAACTCTAAGGTTTAGTTAAGCCAATGTATTATAGTATATTTGTGGCTTTCCTATCCTAGTGAACTCATGTGACATAAACGTGAACTTGTGTAGTTTGAGGGACACAATGTTTTTGTATATCTCTACCCAATAAAAAGCTTCATAGTTAAAACAAATTGAGTCAAGTTCCAAGTATATCTTTTTAATTTCTGCACTTTAAGTCTAGCTATATATTTCATACGTTATAGTTCAGGAGTGGAGTTAATCTATGACCTATGAGAACTCAGCCAATAAACCCCACGGGATATTGAAAATCTGTCCACCTACAGTACATTAACGCGGATCGGACCGGGAAGAAGTCCACTACATAGGTTTTCATGGAAAGTCATGGACTCCATTAGTGACCAAAGAGATTCCGAGCACTCCAATGAATTTCTTAGAAAGTCACAAACTAAAGTACATATAGAAGTAAAGCTAAGAATTATTTGCTTGTGTACTTTGTCAAAGTTAGATTTATAAGAAAAGATTCAAAAAAAAAAATCAAAATAAAAAAGAAAACCAAAAAAATCAAAAAACAAATTTAAAAAAATTTATATATATAGTTATATTCTTAGGTCAACTATCATAAATATATATATATATATATATATATATATATATATATATATATATATATATATATATATATATATATATTTCTTTTAAAGTTGTGTCACTTGGAATTTGGCAATACTTTTTGAAACAAAATCAGTAAATGAAAAGGAATAAGTGGTAGGAATGCTAAAAATGAATGTTGTTCAAAATAAGTTTTGAACCTTTATAAGGATTGTCAGTATTTAGGGCTTAGGAAGTAACTAGGCCTTAGATAAAAATATACGCATTGCGGTGAGACATAATTGGTGAGCACAAATCGGGTTATTCTGTGTGATGTTAAGGAATTCAAAACATAAAATTCCACAAGGGAATTCTTTACAATGAGAAGTGAAGAATCAAACACAAAATTTAGTTACATGATAAATCTGTAAGTATCAATAGATAATCCTTAATGTCTCTAATTCAGTCAATAAGTGTTTCCTTAAAATTCATGTTTCTACATGCACACACTTCATTGCATTTTACTATTCCCTTCTCAGATTCTCTATCTATATGCACACACATCACTTTCAAAGTCAGATTATTTAGTGTTTGCACTTTTATACTTTCTGTTTAGCTCATGCCTTAGAATCTAGGTAAAGCAGCTAAGTTAGATAGAGAATATCACTTACTTGATCATGGAACATCCTTAGCCAAGTGGAGCATCTTATGACATTGGATCAACTTCTTCAAGAAAACCATATGTGTTTGTCTTGGTTTATGGATCATTCTTGTACATTGTGAAGAATGTAAAGATTAAAAGCCTTAAAGAACCATCTTGAAGCAACTTCATGCTCTTGGACCAACATGGAACACGTTCAAGTACATGGACCAAATTTGGAGCAACAACATACAACTTGGACAATCTTGGATCATCTCCTCATCTTTAGACGAACTGGACGAATGAATGAAGCATCTTCATTCATCTTAATTATCTTGAGGCACGTTGGACCATCTTCATCATCTTAATCATCTTAAGGCATCTTGGACTATCTTCATCATCTCGATCAACTGGAAGTACCTTAGAGAAATTTTACCAACTTGAAGGATCTTGATCACTTGGACCGACTTGGAGCATTGCCAGTCTTTTGGAGCATGCTCAAAAACGTTGGACCATGTTCAACAACATTGGAGCATGATCAAGAACATTGGCTCATGATCAACAACTTGAAGCATCTTCAGCCACTTGGTGCATCACACCCATATGAGTTATTAAATCCACATAAAGCATAATAAATGTGTCATGCACGTTTTGAATAGGTAGCATGCACATTTCAAGTAGGCTATGCACAAGTTAAGTATGTCATGCACATTTCCAGTAGATATTTCCTTAGGCGTCATGCATGTCTCAAAGATATCATCCATGCGTGCACCACCTTTTCTTTCTTGATTCTCAAGGCATCATTATCACGCTTGCGACTCAAGTTCAAATTCTCCTATTTATACTTGAGTACCATCCAAGCCTTATGGGCCCAAATGTTGGCCCATGCAAGCCCTATTTAGGCCCATTAGGAAACCCTACAACCCTTCACTATAAATACCTCACTTCTACTTATCATTCTTGTTTTTTTCACTTTCTCTTACTCTCATACTCGCTTGGATCAACAAGGCTTTGTGAGCAACAGACGCCTATACAACAGGCAATTTCAGTTCATGAGCAAAAAGCAGACTTGCCACAACAACAAGCTTGGCTCAACAACAACCCTATTTTCGAAAATCCTCTCTCGTGCCACAAATTTTTCTCAAAACCCTAGTTTGGCTCAACAAATCCTAATTGTGATCAACAAGGATTTTAGATGTCCTCTTGAGCCATCACTAAAAAGGAAATCCCTCTTGAGCCATCAGTAAAACCGAAACCCCTCTTGAGCTATCAAGAAATTTCGAAACCCCTCTTGAGCCATTAAGTAATTTCGAAATTCCTCTTGAGCATTCTTTTTTTTGAAACCCTTCTTAACCCTCAACAAACCCCTCTTGATCATCAAGCAAAACCGAGGATATCTTCTTGAGCCATCTAATGCCTTCTTGAGCCATTCATGATCAACAAGGATTTTGTATGCCCTCTTGAGCCATTCGTGATCAACAAGGATTTTGTATGCCCTCTTGAGCCATTCATGATCAACAAGGTTTTTGTTCCCTCTTGAGCCATTCGTGATCAACAAGGATTTTATTGACCCACAACAGCCCTCTCTTGCACATCACTTAATTTCGATACCTTCTTGAGCCACGCATTTGTTTTTTTCTTCTTGAGCCATCAGCCTTCGCAAGTCTTTGGCGCAGCAAGCCTTTGGTGCAACAACCTTTTGGCACAATAGCAGCTGTGACGCAAAGCAGCCTCCTCTTGACCCTCACAACATTTTTTTTGTGATCAACAAGGATTTCGAAATCACCCCTATTGTGAAAATACCCTTGGCGCATCATTGCGTTTACCTTTGGCACAACTAAACCCACCTGCACCATCATGTTTATTTTTTCAGCTGCGGTATCCATCATCAACATCATCCTCCTCTTGCTCCATCTACATCAAGGAGCGCATTTGATAATCACAATTAAGGTATTCAATCCTCTATTGAAGATGAGATTCTCATGTACACTTCCATACTGCAGCCAACATCAAAAAAAATTTAGCATCTTCGTGAGTTAGAGTCACCTGGCACATGAACCAAACCACCTATTGGTGCAGCTTCTGTTGGATCCAATTCATCTTTTGCTTCACTCCCTCAATCCGATTCTGAAATCTTTTCTCACTCTAGGATATGTTTCTTGGCATCAGTAGCGGATCTAGGCCCTTTAAGTGGAGTGCTTGGACCCCACTTGGAGGTGGACCCTATAATTTTTACTACTAAATAGCCCTCCAAAAATCTAATTTTTACGAAAAATCCCCTCTTTGGCACACACTTTTACATTAAATACCCTCTTTGAAAAAAATTTACTTCAAAACCCAAAAATAAGTTAAATTTTCAGAATTTTATAATTTTTGTATTATTTGGACCCGGTTAGATTTGATTCTGGATCTACCCTGCTTGGCATATACTTCCCACTAAAAGAAACCCTACTTGCGCCATCCGTACTCTCAACATCAATAGCCTTGGCGAACTATTGAAGTTTTGGAGATTAGATCATCAAAGAATTTTTTTTTTTTTTTTTTTTTTTTTTTTTTTTTTTTTGTGGCGCATCAACACCCATGACAAGCCCTTGCGCAACTTCTCCCACGCAAAAGTCTACTTGCGCCACCTCATCTACTTGTGTCATATTCTTATCTCTGAAGCATCTCTTATCAGAGCATTGTGTCCACTTGCAGATCAGCAAGAAATCTTGTCGACGGTACCAATTGACTCTCCTTCATCTCACTCACGAAACCCTACTTGAGCCATCCTCTCTTACGCCGTCTAATCTGTTGCAAGAAGAAACCCTACTCTGGTGAGCAATACCATCATTCCTTCTTGCGCCAACTTTGTGATGAACTTCATGATCAATCAGGTGCATCTCGGGATCGATCAGGTATATAATCCTTCTTTGGCACATCATCTTTTCACTTGTGCCACTATCTGATTACCGAGAACTACATCGAGATCATCCTTCTTGGAGCAACACTCTTTCTTGGTGAAACTGTGAAACAAATTGTCTCAATAGAAAGTTTTTTTTTTTCGAACAACATCGATCCTTCATACCTAGGGGCGCATCATTTTTTTTTAAAACCCTATCTATCGAGATTTTCTTTTGATCAATAGGGTGTTATCAATGAAAAGGGATCCCTACACTCTTGCCTTGCTACTTGATGAAGTGATGCAGGAAGGTGACTCTATCTTAACAACTCGTGTGTGGGAGGCAATTGTAAAATCATTTGCAAACCAAATGAAATCCACTCAGCATCAAGTTTTGACAAAGAGATATTCACAATTGGATACCCAAAGCTCTTCTCTATGATAGAAAATCTTCTAGAAAGAATTTCACGAGACACAAATGTCAAAGGGGTTTTACCTGCCATAACAGTTGAAGGTAGAGATCACATGGTAGCTACCACTGCTGTGAAGAATCAAGCATTCAGACTTTCCATGACAGTTTTTTTTTTTTGTGACACTTGAATATAAGAACAAGTCCTTCATTTGGGACAGCCTGACTGTCACAAAAGGTTCACAAAAAAAAAAACAAAAAAAAAATAAAAAATCATACATTTTTTTTTGTTGGTTACACTCTCACACACATGCACGATTTTTCACTCCTTTATTTTTTTTATTTTTTTATTTCTTTTATTTCAATTTTCTTTATTACTATTTTTTATCTTTTTATTATGTTTTATTTTTTATTTTTTTTTATTGTTTCTATTTTTTAGCTATCACTTGGATAAGTTATCAATAAATACTATCTAAGTTTATATTTCACATCCTTATGGGTATTCTTAGTGTTTATTTTATATTCAAAGGATATTCATAGAATCTTTTTATCCGAATCTATTTTAAAAATATTATTTATGATAAAAATATGTATATAATTTTTGTTTTGATACGCTATGGTCCTATAAGGCTTAGACCTAGCAACTTTGTTTTATCACAACATTAGTTCATATGATTTAACAAAATATCAAAGTTTTTATCTATTTTTCAGTTTGTTCAAAAATGATCAAGTCTTTCACTCTTATTCCACACTTGATTTTTTTTTTCTTCAAACTTCTGGCCTAAATAAAACACAACACGAGTTTGCAAGTTATTCATTTCTGTGAGTTTACATTCCTATCTTGACAAAAACAAATTTTTGTTTAGATCATGCGAATTTGAACATTTTTTTTTCAATTGTCATATTGACAGTTAAAATTATCTTTAACCAAAGTTTTCAAGTTTGAGGAACATATTATCTCATATAATTTTTCAAGTTTTTTTTGTATCTTCTTCAACAATAAATTCCATTGAAGCAGAGGGGGAAAAATGTTAAATCAATATTTTTCCTTTTGCACAGTTGTTACAACTCCTTATTTCAGTAATCATCACATAGGGGGAAATTGTTGGAAATATTTTGATGTGATTGTCACTTGAAATGAGTTGTGTATTGATTTACATCTTCTAACAAATATTATCAGAATGTTTCAGGTTGGAAAAATGTTGAAAATTCAACAAGTGTTTGAAGAATCAGATGTTGGAGCACTTGAAGCTTACATGAAAGGGTAATTACTATTCTGATACATGAAAGGGTTGGTTTGAACAGTTCTTGGTCTCATCATTTTAGACAAATCAGGAAGATTGTTAGGTCTAATATTATTCTGATAGTGAGTTCCAGTTTGGTTTGGAAATCCAAAATTTGACAAACCTTGATTGGAAGGAGAGGTTCTCTGAATCCTTGAAGTTTTAGGAGGATTGATATGTTTGGTCTTCCCTTGGCTTTGCTTAGCCTTAGTTACTCTATTGGTCTTCCTATCATGTCATTATTTGTAGTCTTAACCACTTTGGGGTTTGAAGGATGGACTACAGTTAGACCTTGTTCTTTAGAGACATTAATATTCTCTTTTCCCTTGTCTTTAGAGACATTAGTTGGCTTTACAATTATCTCCTGTTGTTTAGGACTCGGTGAAGAGATTTTGATTGGAACAAAAGGTCTCTTGAGTATTTCAACAACAATTTTCTATTTACTCATAGTTTTCAAGGTTTCATTCTTGTTGACTAGAGTTGGAGATTTCCCAGTCTGTTGTTTCTTAGAATATTTACATTCTAAGTCCTTTTTTTCCAAAGATGGAAGCAGTAAAGGATGGAAATGATTCTTGAATTAGGAATTCAATGGGTTTAGAGTCATGGATATTTTATTGTTCAAAAGTGGCATCTTCGGAACTAAAACTTTCCATGGTGGGACATTCAAGCTAGAATTCTACTGGAGAGTCAGACTTAGTGGCAATTACATCAAGACTGCAAGTTACCACCTCTTCATGATCATCATTGTCTCTAGTGAAAAGACTTGAATCACATGGTAACAACTCTGGTTGAGTATTGAGTCCTATGATTTCCCTATTCATTTCATCATAACCAAGACCATATTTGATCCATGATGGTTTTGCACCCTTGAGAATGTCATGTGAGTTCTGTTCAAGAAGGGTTTTGGATGCCTTATAACTATCGATTTTTTATTGATTTGTGTGTAAATCTAACGACTGTCTTTTGCAATAATGTCATGTTGATTCAATACAATTTCATATTGTTCAACTGATGTAAGATGTGCCTCAGTTTTTATTGAAAGGTCACTTTCTAACTTAGCCATACGACATCTCAATTCTTCAAGTTTGAACTGAGTGTCTGTCAGTTCATCTTTGTAATAACTAACACGGTATTCAGCATTGGTGACATATTCTTTGATTATTTTAGAAATATGGTCAATGTCATCATGAAAAGGCTCAACAGTTAAATGATTATCACGAAGCATAAAGTGTACCTTTTCAACAACTTGTTGATGAAGAGGAGAAGGCTCTTTGTCATCATCAGTTATGAAGCAGAAGTAGTTCTTGTAGGCTTCAGTTTCTTTTGCTTGATCCACTTCATCATCTGTTTCCCAAAGTTCTACGTTTGGAGTTTCCATGACCATGAAATCTGTGTCTTTTGACTGCTTCTTGATCTGCTCTGCTTTTTGAAGGTAGTATGCTTTGTCTTTGACCTTCTTGATTTCATTTTGCAATCCTTGGCAAAATGATTTTCACCTTGACAGTTATGGCACCTGATTATATCATTATCTTCATGGGACTTCAACTTGTTATCTTGAACCCCTTGAGTTCATCCTTTGAAAATTGTAACTTTCATAATTTGAATTCTGAGAGTCGCAGCTTTGTTGACTGTTGCTTCCTCCGTGGAAGTTTCCAGAGTTGTGATGATAGTGTTAGCGTTGTTGATAAGTTTGTGCTCTAAAGTTCCTAGTTGGTTTGTTCATAAACTTTTTTGAAGTTTGGATTGAACTTGGTCAGGAGTGCCATATATTTTTCATACTCCTTATCCTCACTGATTTGAGGGGATTTCATCGTGGTTCCAATGAAAGATTGATGATTAGCCAAGTAGCCTTTTGCGATCTGAAGAGGTTATTGAGTTGGCATGTAAGGATTCTGGTTGTATTGTTGAGCCATACTCGAACGTTGATAAGGATATGATCCATATCCTTGGTTGGCAAACTGATCAGCAAAGTGATTTGGGATTAGACTGTGATGTGCAATCAAGTTTTGAGAATGATTTGCCGTGGGTGCTGAATTTCTGAGGGCAAGTCCTTGATTACAAAGGGAGTTGCTTGAGCTAGCTTATTGACTTTTGGCTCATGTTGTTGCAGATCAGCATATAGAACAAACAGATACATGGTGTCTAGATTGGTTGTAGTTTGTAGTATGATCATATGCTCTATATCCCATTTTGGAGATAGACCGTTCAAGAATTTCATATTGAAATCCTCTTGCGATCTTTCTCCTTTGAGTTTCTTCACCCTGTTGACAATAATGTTATACCTAGAATATGCATCGAAGAGAGTTTCATGAGGTAACATCTTGAAGTTGTCCATGTCTGTCAATGCAACTTTCTTCCTGTTTGCAAGGATCTTATCAGTTCCCTCAAATTGTTTCTTGAGTGCATTCTAGATGTTGAAGGGTGAAATCTTGTCTTCATTGAGAAGTTGCTCATATATGTCATGAGGAATTCCAGATAACAACTCTTGCATTGCCTTAGCCTCAAACTTCTTAATTTTCCTGTCACAAAGTTGAGCAGTAGAGGAAATAGATCCAGAGATACCTTTGGAGGTTTTAGGAGAGACATCAGCTTCAGGAACTCTGATGTCCTTCAAAAATTATGGAGTATGTTTCCCAATCAAGATGAAGGTCCTGATGTCAGAGTCATGACCTTCCAGGTAGTACTTAATGCGATCTATCCATGAAGGGTATTCACTAGGCACAAGGATAAGTGCATCATTTCCTGCTCCAATACTGTTTGCAACTAAACTGAATAGAGAACATTTTGGTTTTGATTCAGACTTGCCATTGAGTACAGGTGATACTAGTTTGAAAATTCAAAAACAAGTTTTTGTGAAAAGTTTTCTAAGTCTCAAAGTCGATCACTCGAGCTCTGATACCAACTAATGAAATGAGAAAAATTCTGTAAACCTATACTAGAATAGTCTAAGTGTTGAAAATACTGAAGCAAAGTTTCAGAATCGTCAAGTGGCAAGTAGTGCGGAAAATAAAGAGCTATGAATCACCAATTTAATGATAAAAATGGTTTTTTTAATGTTCAAGATCAATGATTCAAATGTTTCTCATATTCCTGAAGATTCAATTACAAGTGTTTGAATGTAAAACACACTAAAACTCTCAAATGGCTCTCTGAAAACTAGTCTAAGCAGCAATTGTGCAGAATGAGTAGGAATGATCAAAAAAGAGCAACTTTATAATGGATCCCAAGGGACCTATTTATAGGCTTTGGAAAAGCCATGACATGGCTTGACCAATTAAGTGTTGACACGTCATCATGACTTAGTCATCAGTTGACACCTTTGCCCTACTTAACGGAGAATGGATGGAATATTCCAATTACGTTAGTATTCCGTTAGGGTTCCATCCAAGTTATGAGTCGAACCTTCTTGATCAACATTGAAAAAGTGATGAGCAACATGAGCATCATGTTGCTCAATTGTCTTCTTAGATGTCATTAACTTCCAGAAGTCTTGTTGACCAAGTTGAGTTGTTTCTTGAATGTTGGAATGTGTCTTGAACTTGAAGATGTACCACCACATGTTCATGATGGACCATGGACGAAATTCATGTTCCTTTGAGCATTTAGATGTGCCTTCATTGTACATGATGTGTCATGTGCAATCTTGTTGAGCGATCAATATGATCATATTGATCCATTGACTTGAGTTAAGCCTACAAGTATTCTTGTTGAGTCATCAACTCTTGTTGAGCCATAGAGTTGTGGATGAGCCAACAATGTTTCCGATGAGCCAGCAATATTCCAAATGACCGATTAGCATCTTGATGCTCTACATATGATCTAGATGTGTCATCTAAGATCAGGATGATCCAACTTGTTTTCTTCAAGTGCTCTATGTCAACAACATGTGCTCCAACATCTGATTCTTGAAACACTTGTTGAATCTTCAGGATCTTTTCAACCTGAAACATTCTGATAATGTTTATTAGAAAATTTAAATCAATACTCAACTTATTTCAAGTGACAATCAAATAAAAATATTTCCAACAATTGTGATCTTCATCAGTTTCAACATCTAGGAGAGATTGTTAAGTATTTAAAGTATGGAAACTTATTTGGCATTTTTTGTTATTTAGGAAAGCCGTTTTAGGGTTAATCATTTTATGATTACTTACGGTGCCTTTATAGTATAAATTCTTAATCGAGCTCTTCTAAGGCATTAGTTTTATATTGAGGCATAGATTTTATAATTACGGTATATATTTATTGTTCCCTATAAATAATCATTAGATTAGCTTTTGGTGTAAACTTTTTACAAAAGATTAGGGTTTTTCTTTGTACGTTCATGTGATAATCAATATACACAAAAACCTTTATCGGATTACTTGCATATGATGGTCATTGATTCTTGATTATTCTTGATATTCCGCATTCGTCATCTCAGATTAATTCCCAACATTAATGTTCCTTTTGGGGTAAGTGTTTATAGTAATCATGCAGACGATATATGTATACTTAAAGGGTGAAGGATGAAGAAACTGGTGTGGGTGGATATGAAAGTGTGTGGAGAGAGAGAGAGAGAGAGAGAGAGAGAGAGAGAGAGATTATTAATAATTAAAATAGATAAATAATTATTAAATTATTTTAGAAAATGAAAAAAATACACCAACGATATACCATTCATTTCAATTTTTGGAGGAACCAAATACGTAACGAAACTAGTTCAAAATAACCATCAATCCAAAAAAGTTAAGAGTTTGAATCAAAATTCAGAAAAATATATATCGCACGAACCATTTTTGCAGTTTTGTCAAAATATTTTTATTTACCTCTCAAGCTATAACGTGTCTAGTTTACTTGTATACTTAGACTATACCTTCATAATTTAATAATACACCAAGGGTATATCTCTCTTGAAACTCCACTTCCCGATTTAGTAAATCTATAGTAACCATATGATATTAGCAAATTTATTAAGTATCTATACCTTCATAATTTAATAATGTTTTTTACATTTATCTTATATTTCCTTTCATATGAAGAAAACCATTATTTTACTTAGAAACAAGCTGAAAGGGATACACTGGAAAATTGATCGCATGGGTTGAAACAGTGGGTAGCATTGAAAAATCTAATGAAGTGTTTAATTATGGAAGAAGGAAAAGTTAGGCCACATTATTGTGAGTGGGGTTTCTCAATTTCCATTGGGTAGGTGTGATATTTGCAATATCGGAGATATTTTTAATTCTTAAACCCTAGATAGATTACAGTTATTGTATGATTTGTATCATATTTATTATTTTCTTAATATATAATAAACAGTTACATTTGTTGCGTGATTGAAATATCCGTAATAATTGTTAACAGAATTCTTCAACTTTTTGTATATTTCCTCTCTTATGAGTTATGAAATATTTAACTATCGATAAGTAAAAAATAAAAATAAAAATAAAAAAATAAAAAAATAAAAAAAAACACTATAAACATCGATTGTATATGCTTCCTTTTATTAAATTAAAGTTGATACTATTTTTTGGTGTATGTCAAGAAAATCACAACATTTTATTTTCAAGAAAGTTTCATTGTTATAATAAAAAGTCGTCCACTTTCACCTTGTTTTCTTTGTGAAAAGTGTTTTTAATTACTATTTGAGTACTAGTGGGGCAATTTTCATAAAATCAAAAGGCAAGCAAATATTAATGGGTATAAGGAAAATAGGCAATTAATCTTAGAAGCATTTGAAACAAATTTACGATTTTATGGTACAGTCGGTGATAGAAAATGTGTTGTATTTCTTTTTAAGATACATTAATCTCATCAATAAAATAACATAACGCAACCGTGCTGTTATTCAATATTTTCTTCAAGGGGAGTAATGGACTAGCTCCAATAAGAGAGGTAGGAAATCCAATGCAACTCAAAGAGACTTTGAGTAAAAGCAAAAGCACTTCAATAATTCACCACTAAATAATCAATCACCCCTTAACTTTACCAAAAGTAACACAATTACTTAAAGAAACTAGAAAACGACACATGTGATGGAAACACCACTAAAATTAGTCCTCCTTTTCTTCCCTATATATTCCACCACCACCATTGCTCTATGGTCAGCCATATGAACCACAAAACCTTCAACCAACCGTCGAATACTTCCTTTTTTCAGATCTTTCTGTTGAAAATTTTGTTTTAATTTATAAAACCCCTAAAGAATGGATCATATGAGGATACATACTTACAAGACTCGAGCAAACAAGAAGCATAAAGGGCAACAGTTGTTGAATGATTTCATCTTGTATTCCTTGACTACATTAGCATGTACCTCATTCTGTTCTAGTCCCTTGTGGTATCCTCCATTCTGTGCCACCTTCAATGTCTTTTTCTTCTTCTCTCTCCCAAAGATCACTTCGTTTTTCTTCACTAGCAAGGCTCTCTTCATCGTGGGCAACCTCATTGTCATCTTCTTATTGGGAGAATCAAAGTTTTTTGCTTCTAAGTCTAAGGCTTACAATCATGTCTCTCAACTTCAAGTTATCTCCATATCACAACAACCAAAGGTTATTAAAATTATCACTGAGGAAATTTCCAATCACGAATCAATGCCTTGTGAACAACACGACGATGATACGTTTTTTGAGACATACAATGACGAAGAAACATATGAATGTGTTGTCGATAATAATGTTGAATCATCTACTCATGAGGAGGATTTGAGTTGTTCAAAGCTGGAGCCAAACGAAGTAGAGGAAGAGAAACATGGGGGGCTGGAGGAAGACATGGAATTGAGTTTACCTGCAGAAGAGTTGAACAAGTTGGCTGATGATTTTATTGCAAGAATCATCAGACAAAGAAAGCTTGAAGCTGAATATTGTAGGAGTTAAAATTGTAAAGTGAATGAGATGAAGGATGTGAGTACACTTTTCAGATGAACTAAATAGAATGCTAGAAATGAAACATGGAAAAAAAAACCAATATAAATTAGCCTCTTTTAATATTTGATTGCAGTAAAACAAAATAAAAACAAAAATGCTGCATAATTATTTTAGCTTTCATGCAAATGACACAACTTGAATGTATATGGATCCGAAAAGTTTTCATAACATTAATATTGCAACCGCCAATTTTATTATGTAATTGTGCTATTTTGGCGGCTATTTGAGACTTTGAGTTAAATGTACAAATGCAAAAAGATGATAAAAATATTAAATATGAGGATAAAGAAAGCTCAAGAAATTGCATGAATAAATAAGTAGTTTGAGAACCCGATATTATATATATATATATATATATATATATATATATATATATATATATATATATATATATATATATATATATATATATATATATATATATATATATAAAAGAAGGAGTAAATTACACAAGTCCTCCGTTGAATAAGTGTAAATAAATGTTCAATCCTTATTTTTAAAAATTAACTTTGATCGTCTCTCGTTTTGTTTAAACTTTCATGCTTCGTCCCTAATATGCGGCCTTATTGCGAATATAGTCCATGCCTAATGTGCAATGACCATTATGCTCTTTGTGGAATTCTTTTCCAATTAATTTAATGTTAATATTATTATATTTTTATTAATTTAATAAATATGAAAACAAATATCGCCCCAACCCTCGATGTTGTTAAACATGAACTCGGTATCTTAACCCCTACCCACTCCACTACATTTATCTAGAAATACCACCACCGATGAACCACCTTGAAGTTAAAATCCAGCCACCGGACCATCACTTAGCACCACTTTGAAATACCTACTGAACCACCACCGTCAGAATATTGCCATCTCTTTCTTACTTTATCTATCACTCACCTACTTTGCAGCACCATCATCACGTGCATCATCACCAACTGCAGCCCTTTGTTTTTAGGGTGGGTTGATGAATGCGAATCACACAACTGAAGGTAATACTACTCATCCACCAAAGGTGTTGATCTAAATCATCTTTCTTCTCATGCGACTTATGGGTTCCGATTTATAAGTTTAGGGTTTACTTAGGATTCATTTACAGCTTTAGGATTTATGTAACTTGATTTCCGGTAAGAACTTATTTCCAAAATGTTTATGATTTCCCTTTGGGACGCGGCGTGTTAGCGCCTCAACACAGCGTGTTGAGATGCCCTTGGCCGCGAATTTTAATGATCCTACACGACGTGTTGAGGTTCCTCAACACGGCGTTTGGCAGCTGGGACGGAAACCCTAATTTTTAGGGTGTTGCATCCTATTTAAAGGACTTAAGTCCCCATGATCGGCCTCCTTACCAGCCTCCCTTGTTATATGAATCCCTAAATCGAGTTTTGAGCTTTCTTGGGGGTGTTTTTGAAGTTTTGAGTGGATACTTGTGGATTTTTGTGCTCATTTAAAGGAGTTTTGGAGTTTGAAGGTGCCTAGCTTGGAAGGAATGTTTTAGATCCAAAATCTCACCACTTGTGGCAGTCTCCTTGAGGTATTAAGTTTGAACCTTTATCTTTAGATGTTTAGATCTCCTTATTCCATGTTTTGGTCCTTTTTAGGTGGTTAGAGGAGTTTGGTCATTTTGAGGACTTGTCACTTCAGATCTGAGTTTGTCCTGGCCTTCTTATGCTTAATGTTGCAAGCTTTATGTGAGGAAATGGTCCCATGCATGCATTAAGTTCCTTTTTAAGCTTAGTAGCTACTTTTAGGCATGCACAAATGTAAAGTTCACAAATCTACGTGATTTTCTAGCTCAATTAGGTCAGATATGTGTTTCGGGGCTTCTACTCATGAGTTAAGTGCTTATTGGATAAAGCATTATGCTTTTAAGCCTTAGTGTTTAGGTTTTGGACCCTTTTTGGTGAACCCTATGGGTAAAGTTGGAAACTTTACCCTTCTAAGTTTCCATTTGAGTCCAGATCTGAGTTTAGGAACTCTTGATGTTGAAGGAAATAACTTAATATATTAAGCTGTTGGTGTTGGGTTTTGAGCATTCTAACACTCCTAAGTGTACATGCAACCCTAAATTCCTTGGATTTATGTTTTCTCTATTATACACGCAAATATGAACTTTCCAAGGTATTCATCCTAACTAGCATAATAACATTGATTCAAATGAATATATCAACTTAGAATTACATACCTCTTTGATGTAGATTGTCTTCATGAAGCTTGAGTGCCTAGTGCCCCAAGTGTGACACCTCAAATGGTTCACACAACACCATATACACATGGAATGACTTGAGAGGAAATGGAACATTTCATAAAATCGGCTAGCCCTTCCTATTACCCATAGTCATCGATTTTCTCCAAGAATAAGATCATTATATAGTTAGGGTTACACCATGTAAACCCTAATTGTCATGGCCTTTCATTTCCATGATCCATGGGTACAAATACACCATGGAGCATCCGTGGAGCATCTTATGGGTTTTAGCCCAACTTGACAATCCATGGAGTATTAGCCCACTCTATAAGTATGGATGATTTACACAATCAACCCATATATTTAATTAGTCTTCTTTTGATCACTTAATTAATCTTAGATTACTTCTTGATCAATACTAATTAAATAATCTTATTAATATATATTAGAGCTTATAATATATTAACAAACCTTAAGTGTTATTTCTCTCATTATAGTCTATCCAAATGCATGATGCCATGCAACCCAAATGAACCATGCCGGGCCCAGTCAAGTCTCATCAATTATAGTTATGGACTTAGACATTAATCCAACAGTCACCTACTTGGATAAGTCTAAACCTATTATTGCATATGACTTCAAGAATATGAGAGGTACACTATTAGGAAAGAACAGAAACCATTAAAAGCGCAACTAGAAGCCAAAATCAAGGATTTCCGAAAACTTCAAGAAGAATATAGCAATAAATGTGAAAATTATGACTATATTAAGAGACAACTTGCTTCTGTGACTGTCGAGGTTGACACATTGAAAAACAAATTTGAAAATGCAGATTTTAATTCTAGAAAATATGATGTGTCAAGTGAGGTAGTTGCCTTGATGATTGAGAAGCAATTAAAATTCAAAGATAATCAAAATAAGGGTCTAGGGTATCACAGTATTCCACCACCTTTTAATGACAACTATAACCCACCCCTTGAGACTAATGAGGAAGAAATTCCTGCTCGGTATGGCCAAACCCCTATCCCAGCTTCAATTAAGATTGAACCATCTGGGCCTACTGAGGCTATTCAGGTGAATGTTTCTGATGCTTCTACTTCATGTGCGGGTAAAGTAGTAGAGGATAAGAACAAGGGGAACACTACTGAACAATCCAATGAATCCTTGAACTCTGAGTCTGGTGCTTCTAACTAAGTTATTTCTAACAAACCTGCTGTTGATAAGTACAGGCCACCAATTCAAGTGAAATAGCCGACTTGCTGCATGTGTGCATGTGGGCACAATCAGAAACGAGGCAAGGACATGCCACCAGGGGCAGGAAGAAACAACTTCCCAGTGAAGAAAAGGGCATGTTTTCACTGTGGAACACTTGAACACATTACCCGAAACTATCCAAATTATGCATACGTTCCTTACTACGCACAAGGCTGGCAGAACACGCAAGGTGGGAGATTCTACAAAAGAAATCATTCAAGGTCTCAATCTTGCAATGATGACTGGAACGTGCAGAAGGAAAAGAATCAAACTCACAAGGCCAAGAATCTAACTCCCAAGAACAAGTAGGGAATGCCAGCCAAAAATCCAAATCCAAGAGATGCTCCTGTGAAGCAAAAATCAAAGTCATCTCGGCGATCGGCTTCAAGTTCAAAATCAAGTGCCGAGGCACGCATCAGATCGAAAAAGATATGGGTTAAACCCAACTACAGATGGGTACTAAAGGTTTAAACTCCCAAATCATCTAATGCTTCTAATATTTCTACATCTTCTGTTTGTGATAAACAGGACATGTCATGGGAGAGAGTTCCTTGCAAGGATGACAAAGGTCAACCTAGTTTCAAAATGGATTGGGTTCTAAAGACCAGCTGATCTCGCTCTGTGTCGGAACAGCTATGGAGGCATATCATCAGACTTCGGTTTGTTGGTAGTGGCTATTCCAAGCACATGGTAGGAGGCATCTCCCAACTGTGCAACACTGAGAACCTTATATGAGAGTATGTGTCCTTTGCGGGAAAGGAATAAAGGAAGGGATCACACATGGAGTTAGTGCTTAATGTCATGAAGAATTTCCGGATCTGTTCTCAGAGTATGTGTGCTGTTCTCATCCCTTATGTATTCAAATTCGATCGATGAATTACGGTTTGAGTTCTCTTCTCGATACTCTTGAGTTTCTCTTTCATTGATTCATTTTAAAGACAATTTTCTTTATTTTATTTTTGTTTTTTTGTTAGTTTTGTTAATTGGGAAGTGATATCAAGAAACTGATAATGGGCAGTCTAAACATGTGTAAGGGACTGAATCTGAATTGTCTAGACTTTGTGTTCAATGTGTTGGTAGGCACAAAGGATTTGACAGTGTAGATAGATAGAATTGTTTGGACTAACCATACGACGCTCGGATAGATTGAGCAGTGAGATAAACACGGGAACCCAATGGATACACTACATTAACATGCATCTAGAACAGTGGTTTAACTTTTTTTTTTTGATGTACGGACTTATGTCCTTAATTCTAGTTTTGATAGGGCGAATGGCGAGTTCTGATACAGTAGCTCTATAGGAAATTATTTTCTTGCTTTCTATATGTCAGTCATATGTTGCTTCCCCTGCGTGATTGGAAGAGATTCCACCTTGAATGCAACATATGCAACTCTATTTCTACGTACCTCGTTATCTATGAAATTCTTTCTATCTATTAGTCATATGATGTCTCCTCTGCACGATGGAAATGATCCGACCTGGAACACAGCATATGCAATATTCTACCT